TGGCATTCAGAAAATAAATCTGTCCACTCAGTTGTTACCTCTCTTTATTTGTATTTTCTTGGTGGCATAGATTCACTAGTTCCAATCTTTGTATCTTAAGGGAAATCAAAACCTGTTTTTGCACATCTTTATTTTTCTCGTGTCAAGTAAGAGTTAAGAAAAAAAAGGTTCCTGCTGGCTCAGCCTTTTCTTCAACACTTCTAATGAATCAGGGAAGCTAACCCATTGTTCTGCATTGATAAACATTGCTTTAGTACATAAAAGAGTGATTTATTCAGAGCTCCTGTCATCTGCTTGAATGTATGAATCTATGAGAAGGACTGGAATTAATTGAAAGGTATATTCATGAGTGACTTAAAATTAATCTCAAGCTTGAGGGTCACAGTCATGCTTAATTTACTTTTTTGTGAGAAAGGATAAAAACACTTCGCATCTGACTAAAATGAAAAAGAGAATGTTAAACCACCTGTGGGGAATGCGACATCAGTCGCAAAAGGTTTATATGACATTCTATATTTGTGCTGCTTGATTATTATGAAAAAAATACAATATAATACTAATAGGTTTGAAAGCAGTTTGGCTTAGCAGTGTAATGGCAATAAAAACTTAATAACCAAGAGGCTGATTAAGTTTTGATTTAGCGTTATTGACTCTGTATTAGTTTTACATGTTATTGCCATCATCACTAACACTCAGCAGATCCCACCTACTGTATCTGTTCATGTGTTATAGGAGGAGGTTTCCATCATTGTTCCAGTGATAAAGGCGGTGGGTTTTGTGCCTATGCTGATATTACCCTAGCTATTAAGGTAAGTTGCTTTCTGTATTTTGATTAGAATATATAGGCCAATATAAATCCTAGTGGAATCTGTTAGGTCAATATCAAAACCTGAACTTCTGTGTTTTTCAAAAATGTATTAGCATTCCATGTGAATGAGGAGAGAGGGAATAAAATTTAATAAGAGAGTCCGAGGCTGATATCCATTTCAATATTTTATATTATATTAAGATGAAACATAAAGAAGAAAATATTGCTACATCCTAAATATATAAGCGGTATCAAATTCTCCACAGAATACGTTTCAAAATGACTTTTTTTCACAGTTCCTGTTTGAGAGAGTGGAAGGGGTATCCAAGGCTACAATTATTGATCTGGATGCACATCAGGTAAGATCAAATCCTTTCCATGCGCATTGCAAACAACACAGCTTTGAGATAATACCTGCAGTCAAGCAAAAAAAGTCACATCTCCAAATGAGAGGAGGCCATTCAATCTATCTACTGGTACTGGTATCTACTTGATCCAAGGATCTTTTAAAGATCTTGCAAGAAGCCAGACCATCAGCTTCAACAATATGGCTGGGCATCTTATTCTCTATTCCCATGGTTAGTATTTTCTCTTTCTGTGGCATTGAATTTATGTAGTTGACGTTCATGATGTACTTAGCAATCAAGTATCGTCTGATGATAAGGCTTTCAAAGGTTACCTTTGTAGCAACCATAATGGACACCGTTCGCATTCAGCAAAACAATATTGGTAGCAAAGTGTGCAGTATGTATCTCCAAAGTATTTTTGTGCTAAAGTAAATTACTATACATGTTTTGTTTCAGAGAAAACTTTGAATTTCTTTAGTAACGCAAAGTGACATCATGAATAACATCCTGCATAAAATTAGCAGTTTGACTTGAAGGGCTTTCAGTGCAATCAGCACTTGCCTTTAAGCACAGAGCATTGAATTGATTTGTAGCAGTCTGAACAGAACAGAATTTATCTTAAGTGTCTACAGGAGTCCTTAAACATCTGTCAACTATGGCAACCCATCTTTCTTAGCTTACGTCAAGTGGAGAACTTCTCCATTTGTTTGAAGGTACCATAATTTGACACTAGTTGCAGACAGAGAAGAATTTTAGATTTCGCAATTTTGTAATATGTGTTAGAATGCATGATTATCAAATACTCTGCAAATGCAGTTTTTAATTCACAAGGTATTTTTTTATTTTATACTGTTCACATTGTTCAATTATTTCCATATCAGTAAAAAAAATAATATCAGAATGTACAGAAAGTACAGTACAAAAAAAATGCATTGTTTAAATTTGTTTTAAAACCTTAGACCATAGGATAAAATGGAAATTTGAGAATTGAGTTGTGGACAGCATTTCTCTTACAATGATAACAATGACAGTAAATAATATGAAAATAAAATTAAAAACACCTCTGAAAGGTACAAAACAATTACTCTTTTTAAAACTATGTTGCAGTAAATGTCAAAACATGTTAGGATCTTTCTATTCTCAGTGCTTTGCAGTGGTCAGAAAACTCTCCCTGTACGTGTCACATACTAGCAATTGATAACCCCAGCTGCACGGTGTTAGAAATCGGATGTTGCTGTTTTGCTTTTAATTTGACCTTAGGCCTCATTATTAGGGAACTGCCAGTGAAATCTGAGTTTTCCGCGTGTCAGCTCCATCATGTGGTAGAAATTGTCACACAGGAGCATTGACATCTCATCTCTGAGACCTGTGGAGACCCACAGAAGATATCCTTTCTACTGTACTTTATCTCCTTGACCTGTTTCATTTAAAAGAATAGTTTCATGTCAGGTGTGGGTTGCTGTTATTACTTTTCTTACTTGTACAGAAAGCTCTCCGACAATCTATGTCTGCTTCAGTAACATGCAGTCTTGACAAACTATTCCATCTAAAACAAGTTAAGAAGGTGCTTTTCAAAAGTGATTGAGGGAATCTCCCAAAAAATAGACAACATACCACTTAGTTTTCATACTAAAAATGCTTCTGTGCTGATTTAGTTCTCTATAGACTTTGCGGAAGAACGCTTTTTCATAAGGAATAGATGTCACAGAAAGTAGCATTCTAGGAATGCATAAATACTGTATAATAAATTATGTCAAATTAAAGATTAAATTCAAAGGGGCTGATTAAAGAACTTTAAATGTATGGTACAGAAAAGTAATTTCCTGATTAGTTTTGAAATCTTAAAGTTTTTTATTAGAAAGAAAAAAACATCCTGCACTAAATATCTTTGAATAGTTTTTTATGGTATCAGGCTGACTTTTATTTTTTAATTTTTATTAAGGTTACATTTTACAGCTATGGAATCTTGCCAGGCACAGCAAATTGTGTCACTTGGATCAAACTATGGAAGGGTTCGACTCATATCTTGCTTGTATCAGCAAATACGCCTTACAGCCTACTTGCTGCTGGTGCTTTGTAATCACCTAGACTTTTTGGAACATCATTTGAAACAAAACAAAATTGTATCAATACCCGTACAATTATTTCATGATATTTAAAAGATAGTCATGTCATGTTTTATGCCCTGGGTTTGTACAGGTCTAGGTTTCAACTCACAAAATGTAGTTTATTGTCACATAGCATCGTACTGAGATTCTGGCAATGTCTATAATTCTAAGAATGTTTCTTTTATTCTGAAAACAAGAACAAGAAAGGGAGAAGACCTCAGCAATATAGTAACATATTCCTACAACTCTTCCTCTGTAGATGGGGTATTTGTGTTGAAGACAACAATGCTTTTTCTATGTTACATGTGGGTTATAATAGACGAAGTGCGTTTTAATTAGTGGTACTTGAGTGTCTTGATTAGTTCTTATTTTCATTATTTTCCATAATGACACTTCTCGTTTGACTCTCACAGCGATTTTGCCTTTTCATTGAATTAGAATTGACCATGAACTATGATTCACTGGACTCTTGGAAGGAGTCCAACCCTGTCATATTCATTTTAAAACTTGGCTTGATTATAATTACAGCTTTTACCTATTGACAGAACAAGACAAGGAAATCAGATCAATACTTATACTCGGTAAATAATTCATGAGTGCTGTGGAAAGAACAAAAGGCTTTAAAGACCTGCACAGAAGCATAAAAACTGGAAGGAAAATGCTGCCTATGCGTAACTTAGGAAAAGGGAGAGGGCAAAATTTTTCTTGACTTCATACAGTTGTCAGGTACTGTGTCACATTTACTGCATTTTATGAAAAAAGCTTTGAGGTTCAATTCTATGCTTGAATATGCAAATATTTTATGATGTGCTATTTGAATTTGTTAGCTCATTAATTTGAAAATTGAAATAGCAAAATAAGGAATCTTGCAATTTAGGTTTAATATTATTAATTGAAAAAGTTAACTCTCTGCTTTCTCATGCAAGCGTGAACAAACTACACAAAGACATTGGAACAAGGTCTCTAATTTCAGAAAATGTTCACACACAGCAGTATTACAGTCTATGCACACTGATAAATTATTGAAATTTATGGACTACATCATCTCAGAGGTGTTAATCACAGTGATATGGAAAGTATATTGACTTCATGTCCAATGTCTCATGTAGTATAGTTTTTAAATGGAGGTAATTGTGTTATGATGTTAGTGCTTCAACTTATTCAAAATCTTGAATCCTTATTCTTGATATTTCCAGCTTAACTATTCTGAGATTTTAATTACAGTTGATAGATGGTAACTGGCTAGTGGCCATAGATTTATGTTTATGTATTAATATTATTTTGGGTATTGTTTCAATTTAAGATCTGTGTTCAACACTTCCACTCATGTTTGTGCACGTTTAAAAAGTCTGTAGTGCAATTGCTATTATTAAATACTTCTACAAGCTACATATAGCTTATTGAATTGAAGAAAATACAAATTTGTTTATTTCCACTTGGTATACTTGAATAGCAAAGTTCATCTTGAAATACATGCGTGCTTACATTGTATACCTAAAGGGTAGTTCCTATAAAATCTGTTGTGGAATTTCTTAATAAATTGATGGTTTCTGGGGCCTGTTAAAAGGGAATACTTGAAAATCTTATTTTGTTGTGCTGCCCTTTTTGTAATCCTGCTATCTTTCTGGAGCAGGCAGTTTCACGAATGCAAGCTCCTATTGGTCATATCCTCTCTAAAGAAAGTTTCCAAACAAAGTCATGTTTTTATCTTAATTATAAATGCATGAATCCGTAGCTAAATAGGAAGTCTAAGAATACCTCCTTCAGGGCATTCCGAAATTGAGGAACACATGCTTTATCTCTTGGTCAAAGAAGTAAGAGGATTAATTTTGACGTGGTTGCTATGCCTTAAAAATACAATTTAATTTATTTGACAGTGGGGCTCTTAGGGTTATGGGTACCCAAAGCTTAATTCACATGGTGTTCAATTATGAAGTGATTTTGTTTCCTCCTTAATCTGTTAGTCCAATCACTATAATTGGGAAGACCCCTGTTACTGTTGCAGGCTTGTCTTGTGCATCCTAGTTACAAAATCATTAATAAAGTTCCTTTTCAAATTATGTTTTATTTAATAATTTGTTATTAATAAGAAGATGATGTACTGTACAGTATTTTATCAGTTCTGCCAGCAGGTCTCTGTAATTACCTGCAAATGTGCGTCCTCTTCTCTAGGGCTTTGTTTTTTAGTATTTCTAGCATATATTTTCTATTCTAACATTTATTGAATCCCGGCAGGACCAGTCTGCATTTGTTATAACAAAACATAGTAAACAATAATCAATATTTGCCTAAGCCCTATAAACTTATTCTTTTGTCTTCCTTAGAGAATAGGTATACCTAAAATGCAAAAAAAGTGCATGTTTATCAATACTTTTGAAATGAAAATATTAATTTGAAAAACCAAAACCAGTATGATTATTTTCAGATGAATTTCAGACCCATATGAGCTAGCAGATGAAAGTCAAAACAAAAAAGCTACTGTTGGCTCACACTCAAGCCTTGTTCTTTTGTGCAAAAATATAAATTATGCTTATTCACGACTGATATATCCATCGCCTGGGTGCACTTGAAATCAAAAATGGAAATATATGTAAGGAAGGGCACACAGATAATTTACCTTCATTTGTAGCACACAGAATGTTTCAGAAGGACTGAAATATTACATTGGTTAGTGATTCTGTAATAATGAAAGTAAAACTGAACATTTCCATAGGATTCATTATTAATGCTGAGATGAAAAGGCTTGGATATTAACATTACTTTGCTCTTCAGAACTTATCTTACAAGTACATTGTGGTGAAAATGATGTGGTTTAGTTATTTAAGATTTAGCACTGCAAAGATGTGCTTTAAAGGCAGTTTCAAGAAAGGAAGTAATTGAGGTTATTTTTTGAAACACTGTTGAATTTAATATTTGTTTCACATGCATGGAGTACTGTACAAATACAAGTAGCAGAAGCTAGAAGGAAGCTTTGTGAATGTATGGCTTTAGAGTTGTGTTAACTATAGTAATTAACTTGCATTTCTTAGTAATGATAGTTGTACTGGGGGGATGTGAGCTTCTCATTAACATGGGCATTAACATTTACAGGACCTGAAAATGATGTACTGATTGTGTTGATTCAGTCTGTGTTTGTTTACAAGATAATTACTGTACCTAATTTGCCTACTGCATTGTCTCTTGTGTTAATACAGTTTAGTGAAATTTCAGTACAGGTGTTTCTAAATGATATATCACGAGTTTTGATGCATTCATTTAAAAAGGAAAAAATGTAGTAAAGCTATCCCATGTGATTTCTATTTGTTAAAAAGCTTGTTTTCACTTTAATGTGATTTTTGGATTTACAGTGCAACTATTTCAACTCTGTTTTGATTATGCACACACTGCAGTTGTAGCCCAAAATGATAGCATATGAAAAATTATATTGCCTTTACAAGAATATGACTGGATAAGAAACATTATCCTCTGCCTAAAAACAGTGGACAGTTAAGAGGCTTAATTTATCTCAAAATGTATGAGGATGATTCACAAACTGTCTAAGTACCTTTTGCAGTATCTTTATGAACTGTATTGGACATGCAAATCTGTAATTCAGTGACAGTAGAAGTATATGGTCCTCAGATGATTATCTTTAAAAATAGTGCAGTTTCTAAAAGAACAAATTGAATGAAAACATAAATGGTAATAAAGTGTTCTTAAGCTTGCTTTTAGATGATTTTAACTTCAGTTCCTTTAGCACAAAAGAGATTTGGAGACTTTTAAAAAGAATTGCAGTACTCATCACGTCTTTGCATGGATTGAAGTGATGTTCTGGTATTTTGTCACTGACGTCTCGAAAAGATTGGAGAGAAAAAAAACCAGAGGGGAACACAAAATGAAATCGGATAGCTTGACTTAAACAAGAAGGCAGTCACAAAATTGCTACTCGAGATGACAGTCCATTTGAAAATGTGGTGATACAAATATGTTTTATGCTTTCCATTCATTTATTCATAGATGTGACATGTTATAGAGCGTTTCTATAAGCTCGGGCCTAGACTGCTATGGACAGGACGTGAGTAAGGCATCAGATAAGACACTGAAATTCACATCTTGGTTGAGCCTAGGGTGGAAGTTTTCGAAAAATCGTACTTTCTCACAGTGACCCAAAGGGCAGTGAACAAGACAAGTCTCTGACTATGATCACGCACAGTCTCTCTCTCTCTAAAATGACCAACACTCCATTAATCCCAAGGACCGTTTTGCTTTGAAAACCTTTGGAGAAAGAGAGTATGTGATACATTCCAGAGTGGGGATTTACTGTAAGAGCCATGTCTGGGAAAACCTGGACTTATATTAACCCTGTCTAATGGAGAAAACCTCAGCTACAACAGCCGGTTTGAGATTCCCACAATCCTGATTGCAAGGGAATATCTCCTGGTTTGTGCATGCTTTTTTACCCTAAAGCTTTTATGGGAACCATGTTTTTTTTATTTTAGGGCAATGGACATGAGAGAGATTTCTTGGATGACAACAGGGTCTACATAATGGATGCCTACAATAGATACATATATCCTGGGGATGGATATGCAAAACGTAAGTCATAGGTTGTGATATAAAATGTTAAGGATGTCTACGGTGTTTGATAAGGGTAAAGATGTGAAAGGTATTTGAAATGCAGGACAAAGTGGGTATATACAGTACCAGTATGGTGAATTACATGAATGCATGAATGCATAAACATTATTACAGAAAAAACAAATAACTTTAAATTGTTCGTGACATTAATATCTTATAATTAAGCCTTTGCTTCTTTGCAGAGAATGACATCCTGTGAAGAGCACTGAAATATTTCGAAATCCTATACCACTTTCCCCATGCTAGTGTTCATCCAAATTGTCTGGTTGCTGTTTAACTTTCTCAGCATCAATGCTACCCCATATGGCGTTGATGATGTTCATAACAGGATTTTGTAAAGGCCATGACCTCCCTGCGAGTGTTCCATCAGCCTCTTTGCCTTCCAGATATGTTTGCACTGTATTGGCTGAATGCCTGGAGTCCCAGTGAGATGTGGTCATGGTGGATGAGAATCTGCCTGTATCTTCTTCAGTGTATGTGATACAGCCCCATACTTCCCTCATGCTTTGTTATAGCCATTGCTGATTGCCTTCTATCCTGTTGTATGGGCTGCCTTCCAACAACTGTTTACCAAGCAGATGGATTCTCAAACAGCTCAAATATGTCTCCAAAATTTCTGAAGTATTTCCACTACTGTAGTGTATACGACAAACATTGAGAAAGTCCCTTGTTTTCACGGGAGATACAGAACACTGTCAGAATCTTTTTTTTGTCTTTCTCTTGTGGCCGAGTCACTCTCCCTCTTTTCTACGGGTACTGTTTCTAAATATTATGCCGTGATTGCTGTGCAATAGTTTACATGACATACAGTTGGTATACTGTGCATCCTGTGCTGCCTGGACTCATCTCATTAGATCGCCTTTCATTCTTTAGCCATCAGACCTTGAATATCTTTCATGTGGTCTGGGGCATCGTTTTCAAAAGAGCAGAGAGGCGCAAGTATCTAAATCCAGACCCATTTAAGAATGTTTCCCATCCTGAAGTTTTACAGAGGCGATGCTTTTGATTTCTTTCCACAAATGTGTTTTCAAGGCTTAGTCGTTAAGGGTGTGCAATGTATTAATTAAGCAAGGGCACTGGTTTGGGACAGTTTCAGTTAGCTCACAGCAGTGCACCAGTATTTATTCAGTTAGAACTCATCAGCCTGGTTCCAGCTTGAGATGGGTCAGGTGCAGGCTCGGATAGTGATAATAGATAAGCACATGGATAGTCATTACAGGTGTAAAACCAATCTCATTGCTTCATTGCTGCAGCTCAAGTAGCAAGCACTGCAGTACAGACACGACTTTTGTTACTTTAAAGTTAAAATGCCGAGACAACAGTGTTTTGTAATATATAAATGGAAAACATCGGTTGATGAAATGGTTCAGCATTTTAATAAATACATTCATAATACATTTCTGGCAGGCATACCATCAGCATGGTTCTGCTCTAGATCTTTGGGACACCTGTAAGGATTGTAAAGTCATTCACTTTTAATTACAGTGCTTCATCAGAGTAAGAATGCATGTAAACTGATATGCATATTCACTAAATCAGTCTATGCAGTTTTAATTTCACATAATTAAAGGCTTAGTAAAAACAAAATGCCACGAGCTTTTTGTCTGCTGTGAAAATGCTGACACCATTTGGAAAAGTTGGAAACGCAAGGGTGTCGTCTCAGAAGTGAACTGCAATGCATTTACATTCCTACAGGTGGCAGTGTTGTGCACTGTGTCACATTAGAGAAAAGTATGGATTTCTCAGCCCGTGAGGTTGGAGCTTGGGGGGGGGTACTGAACTAACAAGAATCAGTATAGCTCAGAGATCAAATCATTTCTAAAGGATTGCTTTACAATTTGTGTTCCTGACGGTTCACCTATATTCCTGCAAACATAATTCAACAAAGTTGTCTGTGAAAGTGTAGTCATTTGTTTAATCAAGATTTCCAAATTTGTATCTTCTCATTTCTACCTCTAGATGTCACTATTATTTTTTCTTAAAATTCTGCTGCTATAATTGGGCATATATTTAACAATGTAAACCACTTTTAAAAGCCATAGGACTATCACTCATTCTTCAAATACATTTATAGAAGGATTACAATTTGTCATTTTCTTTCTGTGAACTGATGGGAATGCAGTGGACAGAACTTCTTCAGAGTTACAGGTTTCATCTGTCAACTGAACGAGAGCAGGAATTGTTCTGGCACAGAGGTTTATTCACTGATAGATATGGAAATGTAATTATTGTAAGATGTTCATATAGCCCTTCCCTGCGATTCTCAATGATACAGCAGAACGCTCTAGTTGGTCCATTGCAAAAAATAGGTCCTGTGTTCAGAGTTGTGTGAAAAAATAAGTGTATAAAAACTATTGCTAAACGTCTATGGGTAACAACTATCTGACAAGTTTAATTTGGGATATTAAAACAGTCTGCTCTGTAGTGTTTTAATATTGTTAGAGGTTTAGGGTGCTCTGTAACAGGATGTCACTGATACACTACTAAGAAACAATAATTGTGATACATGAGAACTGTAAAATCTCGTTTTTCCCCGTTGGTGTCTCAACGAGTGGGGTTGTATGTAGGGTATTCTAAGCTTCAGTAAGCCTTCTTGACCAATCCCAGCACGCCTGGCTGTTTTGATTTAATTATGATTTAACTGCCGATGCCATTTCACTTCAGGAGCAATAAAGAGAAAGGTTGAGCTTGACTGGGGCACCGAGGACCCAGAATATCTGCAAAAGGTTGAGCTTCACGTGGAGGGAGCGCTGAACGAAATGAGACCTGACATCGTCGTCTACAACGCAGGCACTGATATCCTGGATGGAGATCCACTGGGGGGTCTTGCTATTTCGCCTCAGGTGTGTAGACACTCAATCTTGTCATTATTGACCACTTCGCCTGCTGGCAATGAGGTATAGACCCTTAGAGGGCTGCAATCAATATTGCTGAACATGCATTAACTTATTGCTAGAGGGAATTATGTATTCTATATTAAATCATTGTGATAAAGTTTTGAAATCGAACTTGGGAATTGACATGGTTTTATAATTAGAAATATACAGTAGCTAGATAGCCAGGGGAGTGGAAGAGGCTTGATTTGCTGTAAGGCTTTTTTAGAAAAACATATTCTCATGAAGATTAAATGAATCTTTACCACTATTTTCCTGTATTTAATTTCAATTTGACTTTGTGTTACACGTGCTACTAGCCCCTAGAGTACGAGACCATTTGAAACTTGCAAATCCAGCTTGCTTGCAATAGCTGCTATAGTTCATACTGAGAATGAAGCAATTGATTATTCCACATGCTCTCCTATTAGATCATCCTGTCTTGAGAGGCTAGCCAGGATTAATCAGCATCACTCTGCTGTCAGCCTCTTATCCTATTCTCAATTGTCAGAATAGAAACTTCTCCAGCCCATTGCCTTTTCCAGTAGCACAACAGCCCAGTACAATGGTATTCCATCATCCTGCTCCTGCACTTGTTGAACCTGGACAATCTGTTCACTGTACTGTTTGCCATAGCAAAGCCCTTGCAATCATTGTCACTTTTCGAAGTAACATTAATAGTTTGCATAATCTCTGTTTTTAAAGTCACTTCATTCCTTGTTCCTGTACAAGATGTTACCCTTATCCAAACCCTTAACTCGTAACTCTATTTTACTGTACTATAACTTGCACTATTGTAATGCAGATATTTTTTGGCCACTTAACACCAATATAACAATATTTCATACACTATTTCTGTTGGACAAAAACGATGCGGTTTATTGTTCTTGCACATATTTTAGCTCACCTTGTTGCCACTTATGTGTTAATTATATCCTTAAGGTGGAAACCACAAGTGAAACCTTGATTTTGTGCATGTACATACTCCGTAGTGTAGTGTTCTTAAGTAAAAGGCAACGTTTTGTAGTGACAGATGTGGAAACCACACTGCATCCTGTAGTCCCATCCTTTTCCTACGGGTCACTTAACTTAAAGAAGTTGGCAGCTAGTTTCTGTGGATAAGGATCAGACATAAATGTACATTACCTCACCAGTATTGCATGCATTGAGGACCGTGTCTTTTCAATAATGATAAAATGAGAGGAAGCAAAAAAGACCAACCACTGCCTTTCGATTACCCAGGGCATTATTAAAAGGGATGAAATCATATTCAAGGCGGCGCGTGGAAGGCAGATACCGATCCTCATGGTGACCTCCGGGGGATATCAGAAGAGGACAGCACGGATAATAGCTGATTCCATAATTAACTTGAATAATCAAGGTCTGGTGGACTGCGACTGTGCTGCACGTGAAGCAGGGCCTTCACACGTTCCCCTGATGATGAGCCAATCTGTTTCTGCTGGCACTTAGCTCTCCAGCAACTGACGCTCCTACCCTTCTGCTTTCCTTTTGAATTTCCCTTGACGTATATGTTGGCTACTTAACTTTAGACTGAGTTCAAAATCTTCTATTTATATTGTGGCATATCCTCTTAAAGTTTTCCATGTCAAATCCACACTTTTAATTTCACTCATAGTAGTTCTGGAGAGAATTGTACAGCTTCTTGACTGAGCTTTTTTTTTTCTCCAAAAATGATTTACTATTTGTATTGTTCAATGGTACTAGATACTTCTGCTCACATGAGTAGTTGTACAATAATTATGGCGTTGATTTTGTACTGCCTTTTGACCTCCGTGCTCTTTGTTGTGACTTTGAATGTGAATGATGACCTGAAATGTGATTGAAGAAACACATGGAAGAATGAAATGTGAGGGAAGAAACTGCTTGCTCTGAGCATTAAAAAAAAAAATATGGGTTACCACATCTGTATTTGATTTCAATAAGTGTGTGAAGACACTGGGAAGAAAAGATAGTGATATCACTCATTTAATGCATAAAGACTGTATAGCAAACAGCAAAAATGTTTTTAATTTGTTTCATATACAGTATATCTGCAGTATAGCTTTATAGGACATACAACAGTACAAACGTGTACTTTTATGTACTGTATAACTGTTAACTGCACCCTAAACTGCAGACATTGTGTTTTACTCATGTCAGAGAATAATAGTGCAGTCGGTCAGTCTAACCAACCCCCGTTTAACGAATGTTTCTGACCTCCTCAGAGAAACCATGATAACATCATCACTAGCATTTTCAAACCAGTTAGGAAGAAAACTACAGAAAACTGTTATGTGACCTGTTAAGTGATCTTTCAGTTTTGAGATAATAGCAGATTCATTTTTCCTTTAACATTGTGTGATTCCAAATGAGTAGAAACAAGTCCATTTTTCCCATTTTAGGAAATCAATTCTTTTTTTTTTTTAGCGTGACTAATGCAATATGCAGAAAACCATATGTGTATACTCTCACATATTACATATTAACATCATAAATTAGATGACATTGCCCACGGTCTTATGTTTTTCGAAGTCTTAAAGTAAGAAATAATAAACTAGACAACATTAAAAAGAGCAAGAAAACTCACATGAGAAGGGAGAACATCAAGGGGAAATGAGTGAAAATAATATAAAATGCTGCTGCATTAACTTGATTAATCTTGTAGATCATGTTGTGTAATGGTACAAAATCTCGTTTTAAATACACTACAATGAAGTACTGTATAAAGCCACAGGAGACTTGGAAACTTAAGTCTTTCACTCATAGAATATTCCTCAAATTCAGTTAGAGTGAGCATATTTAACAGATTTTCATAACATGCAATTTCTGAAAGATATAATTTGTAATATGCCTTTTTACATGATGTGATAAAAAAACCATGATATGCTACACATGTCTCGAAAGGCACGTGTAGAAAGGTGAATTTAGTCTGGTTTCTTGTAATGGTACAATAAAGATGGTGTACATTTTTCAGTCTGCTTTTATCAAAAGGACATGTATTTCAACAATTCAAATATTGTAAGGAACAACGTCTTATATTCTGTGCCCTAGTGAACTGGGCTACTCATTTGTGTAGCAAGTTTGCATTGAACAAAGTAACCTGAATTCCCATCGAAGACAATTTGTTAAATTAATGTTATGGTTAAGTATTGTATTAAACACTATCTTTGCTAGTGAAGCTTATTTATTTACCTTATTTTTTTAAATGAACACTATTCCAACACAAAACCCCAAAACTAGAACTTGTATAGATTTTATATGAATTATTTTTCTTTATTTTTTTCCTGAACCGTTATTCATATAGAGTGGCGTTCTCATTCTGTTTACATTTAATAGCCCCTTTTGTAGTAAAAATGAAAGTCCTCGATTACTTTAAAGAAAATGAAACGTACATTAAAAGGCTATTAACATGCATTTTTGTGAACTAACCTTTAGATTGAGCCAGGATGTTCATAATGGCTATTATCAGTTTAAGAGCAAATATACTGTAAGTGACAATCAATATTGTTTCACAAATGCAGTTGCTTAAAAAAAGCTTAGTAGCTTCTTGGAACGATACCAAATTACTTACTGACTTGCAAAAAGATGCCTAAAAAGATTTTATCAATTTGGTCCTCTGCGCCATCAGTTTACTGTCATAAAAATGAGTATAATTTGGTCTATATACTGAATAGATCTTGTAACTGTGCTGCTCAGTTGTTAAATCTGACCCTCATTTGTGGGTTTTTCATTGAATGGCTGTAAATGTGATCTCTGTAAACCCACTGTTGCTTCATTATTACCTTTTAGGGCATGACGGCTTAGTTTAATGATATGTCTGCCTTCATTATAGAAGCAGACGATATCAACCAAGTGGAATAACATTTAATTTCTTGGTATCTTTTAAACCATGCACATCTAATGTAATAGAGTAAATTTGAAACTTGCAGTACAGTAGTTTATCTTATAAATGAAAGCTTTACAGTTATATAATGCTTTTTAACCAATTGTATTTATTTTAATTTACAAATTTGTGTTCCAATGAGAATGAGTACACCTCTGTTGAATTGCATTTGAGTTCTGTTTCTTAATCTTATTTACTTACAGAAACACTCATTTTATCTTCCTGATGAAAATATGTCAGAAAAACTCAAAATGGATTTTTGTCTTGTGGAACTTTAGAAATGAGCAGACACCCCTTGAAACATCTCTTCCTTGAAATAGTTGCTTTCTAAAATAGATTTTAGTAGTAGTTTACTAGATTAAAAAGTTTTCCTCACTAGAACATCTTAGTATCCTGTACAGAAACATGCTGCATTTCAAACATAAGTTTCAGGTACCCTGGGATGTTGGTACTTTATAAAGTATTGCAAATGATTTGTTTTGGAAAAGAAACGTAGAGAGTGGAGGTGAAATGTGAAGTTAAATCAAACAAATATTAGAAAAGGAAAAAATGAAAAATACTGTAGTTAATTCAGTCTTCCAGTTAATTTGATCCTTGATAGTGTTGTATACCCAATTGGACTCAGTATCATAATCTGTCCAAAGATACAATTTTTGGACTGCATATTTGTATCTGAGATAATTAGAGATTAAAATCCTAAAAAAGTTTTCAGTTGATACCATGGCTCAATAATGATGATTTAATTATTCATTTTTTAAATAAAGTAGCCCTTTGTAACAATGATAGTGTTAATTAGTAACTCTGATGTACAAATGTTCCATTTGAATAAAGATTGCAGGATCAGCAAATGTTAATTGCAGTCCTAGTTTGGGACTTCTGAGAAATTAACTGTGGTTCTGAGATTTGGGGGTTTGAAGCTTTTATACTTGTATGTAACTGATGTGAATTTCTTTAAAAGTAATTAATATTGTGTATATTGAGATCAATATTATATAACAGAGGTGCCAAACCAATATACTTTTTGTAACCTTTGCGACAGTTTCCTTAGTTGTTCACTTTCTGTGGTTGACATGTAATATATTACATTAATATATTAAAATATATAATGTTTTAAAACCAGCCCATTGTGTCTCATCTTAAATACCCGCCTGTGTCATGTGTGGACTACTTGTATCATGTCGTGCACTAAAGAGAAATGCTGTGTATGTTTTAGAAACTGCAGATTTCAGGGGTGGCAGAGAGCTCTATAATGGATTCCAAGCCCAGAGCAGTGAGTGGTCATCACCTGACTTTGAGTGTGGCCTAGACAACACTAGAGGTCTATTTGTGGCAGTCATGAACCATTGACTTAGCTGCATCATTAGGCATTTGCGATTCTTCGTTATTACACTGATACAAGCAGACATCTGTGCACCTGACATCTTGCAAAACAGCCATTCTCTCTTGCACAGAAACAATCCTAAGTGGTTTTATACTTCCACCCTGCTGCTGGATTTTTAGTGTTCTTGTTTCACTTCAAACGGCAGTGGAAGGAGCTGAATATGTTATGCAGGCTTGCTTTCATAGAATTGCATGTTGGGCTCTGCTTTGCACTTCACAACCCTTCTGAGTTCGAGCTCTGTTAAAGCAAGCTTGTTTAGGTACAAAGAATATCAATTGTTGCAGAGATTTAATACATTTTTTTCTTTTAAAAAAAATATACACAAAATACAACAGAAAAACAAAATAAATATGCATTCTTATAGTCTAATGATTATATATTTAAGAACTAACTGATTCTACAAAGAAATATGTCTTTTTGTTAGCATTCCCCTTCCTGACATTATTGGACTTAACTAGTGGCGTTTTGTCCAGTCATACTACAGTATTTACAGTAACTATTTGTGTCTGTCCACTTATACTGTACTTTTCAACAATTCTGGTGTGATCTCAGAAATGGTGGTTTTTAGGCTTGAAATATTGAGGGGGTACCACAGATTTTGTAGAGTGGAGGAGATATTTTTGTTGTGTTGTATGTTTCTGTTCAAATTAGCGTTCACAAAAAGCTGTACAAAATGCAGTCCCTGTACACAATGAACGATTTGTTCAGCTGTGTGAGTAGGCTGTGCTTTCACACAGCTGTTGAGATTTATTCTGCGTTCAGAATAAGTCCTATCTGATTTGTCTGGATGTCACTAGCAAGAAGAAGGTCCGATTCACCATTCCCTTCTTATGTGTTTTCTCACGTAGCTGGTGAACTGCGTCTAATCTCGCTGGGATCAAAGACTCTGAGGCACCACAAATTTAGACATTTGGAGTGTAAAGCAAAGGAAGTAGAGCAAGGCTTTTAACGTAATTGCGAGAGCAGTAATTGCTTTTTTTTCCTGCCTCAGGTGTTTCCGAAGAAGGGATCTAGGGAACCTTTTAAAAAGAAATTATTAGCCAGGTAACAATGTAAATAGCAGTTGGGGTCAGCTGGAATTGTCTTTGCAAAGTATAGTCTTGATACTAAAACCCATCAAGCCATGATCATCGGGATTCCAGAGCAATTTCTGCAGTGAGTTTCTTAAATCACTTCTAATATAATCACATAAGAAAACAATAATAAAAGAACACTTCTTTAAAAATGTTTTCAAACCTGAAATATTTTATTCATACGTTTTAATTTGTGGGAAAGTGAGTTTTCTATACAACCTGAGGCATGATTAATAATTTGTGAAGGTGACTCCATTTCATGCCTGTTGACCCACTCAGATTCAGTTCATTCTCTTAATTTCTCCCAGTGATTTCAGGACCTCCACTAGTTCTAGTCTGTATTCTATATCTCAGCTTCAATTTGTTTAATATTAAATCTAATATGAAGTGTTTTCCTCAAAATCCTTAATGCAATACATTTAAATATGTATATGTATATTAAATATGTAAAGGAACAGGTAACGGGTTTATTCCATGTTTATATTCCATTCCATTTCTTTTCAGCATGGAATAAATCCGTTACCTGTTCCTTTGCAGCCTGCAGATGCTGACGCAGCCATTCTACTTGAACTATTATATATGTATACTCAGCATCAAAAGAAACATATCACTAACAACTGCACAAAATTCACATAGCTACAGTATAAGGAGGATAACTTCTTGCAGGCACACTAGTACTATGTTAAAAGGACGTAGCATTGATATTAGCTCAGTTAACCGGTTAGCTCAGTTGGTTAGAGTGTGGTACTCGTAACCCCAAGGTTGTGGGTTCATTCCCCATACGGGCTATTCGGTTGCTTTGCCAGCAGTCATATCACCCTGCAACTCACAACTGGCAACCCACTGAAGCAAAGCAGGTATGAGTGTGGTCAGCACCTGGATGAGATGTTAAAATTGAGGTCTGTGGTCATTAAAAATCCCAGGGCATTTCTCAAAAAGAGTAGGGGTATAACCCCAGCATCCTTGACAAATTTTCCATTGGTCTTTACCAATCAGGATCTCCATCTATGAATTGAATTCACTCTGTTCTCCCCACTGATAGCTGCTGTGTGGTGAGCATTCTGGCCCACCATGGCTGCTTTTGCATCATCCAGGTGGG